CCCACCTTCTAGAATCCTCTGCTCCATGTTCCCTGCACTGCAGGTGCTGCAGGTATTTACCAAGGGAATGGTTTTCGTCTGAGTCACTGGGCACACACACCTGTGCCTGAGTCACAGTCACCCATCGGGTACACACCTAAGGGCGCCTCTGGGAATGTTGGAGAGAACCTGATAGGCAACTTCCTACCTCTCAGAGATGCAAAGCTAGCTGCAGGGCACTGGCAGGACAGAAAACCTGGGGACAGATCATGTAGGTTCTAGAAGAACCGGGTTTCACTGGGGTGGACTCTGTCCCCGGCCTTGATCTGGAATCTGATTTCCTTGTTTCCTGTATTGCTAGGGTCTGCATCAGCAAAAGAGTAATTAGAATGACAGGCAGCACCTAAGAGAACCAGGATAGCTCTTCCCCTCTAGAGTTTTGACACCAACCATGTAGAAATTAACTTCCTGCTGTGACATCACAGATTAGCCCTACAGCAGGAAGGAATAACTGGAATCTAATTACAAGAATGCAGATAAACCCAAACTGAGGGGCAGTCTATAAAATAATGCCTTTACTGCTGAAAAGGGTCAATATTATGAGAGACAAAGAAAAGCTGAAGGGCTGTTTCAAGCAGAGTTGTGGCAACCAAATGCCTTGCATGGTCTGGATGGAGACCTGGGGCAGGGCAGGTGCTCTGTGAAGAACCTTCTCAGGACAGTGTGTGTGGGGGGGGGAGTCCATGATGGCTTGTGTAGTAGATGACATTTTTGCATCCATGGGAGGTCTTTGAATCTGGTAATGAACTAGGGTTGTAAAAGGGAAAGTATAAGACACTATCTTGACCCGTAGGAATATGGGCTTAAATCTTTAGGAAGGGATCAGATTCGCTGCCGTGGCCCTCCCCGGTGGCGCAGCGGGTTACAGCACAGCACTGAGAAGCTAAAGCCGCTTCCGCATGAGTTCGATCCCGCCTGCCCCAGAGGTGACCACATGGCGTGTCAGACCTCTCCTGACCCGCCCGCTGCTCCCCTCAGCAGTGTACTTCCTCGATCTGCCTGTTCTGCTCCCTGCTCTGCCTCTGGTGAAGCCTCTTGCCGCCCCTGAGCCTCTGGCCTGTACCCCAGTTCTGTATGAATAAATAAATAAATCTTTAAAAAAAATTCGCTGCAATTGATTCTTGAATGTTTTAGGAAAAAATAGAGATAAAGCAAGTGTGCGGATAATCTGAGTGAAGTGTATAAGCTGTTTTCTTGATGTAGTTTCTTCTAAGTGGGAAGTTATTTCAAGATAAAAATGCAAACATGAAATAGTGCTTCCCTCCCCCCAAGGAAAGAAATACCTTTTCCAAGGCAAATCTCTCAAGGGGGAAGTGAGGTGGCGCATAGTCTTTAAAACAGTCTATTCTGAAAGTGAGGGGGGGGGGCCTCGGGGCTCAGTCTCAGTGCTGTCTTTGCTGCAGCCTGAGCTCACCCCGGCCAGGAAGCCTTCACAGAGCAGACCTCTCCTGCCTCGCCTGTGCTCCCTTAGCTGACCTCTTTTCAGTCAGTCCACCTGTTCTCCTCACTGTGTCTTTGGTGAATCCTCTCACCCTCCCCACCCCCCTTACCTCTGGCCTACCTACACCCCAACTCTTCTATGCAAATTGATTTGGGATATTCTCATAAACATTTAAAAAATAGAAGAGAAGCAACATTTTGCATGTGTAAATTTAGGTTCACTTTGTAAACGCTCTAACACACCAACATTCACACACACAGAGCTAAGCACATACAGCTGTGTACCGGGCCAATATTCAGTGCGTCTCTTACTGAGTTGAGGTTTTTAAAAAATATTTGAACACTATTATCAAAGTATCTTTGAAAAAAAAATATGTATGCATAAAAAAAACTAGGGTATAGGCCAGAGGTGCCAGACAGAGGCAAGGGGTGAGAGGATTCATGAGAGAGTGGGGAACAGAACAGGCAACTCAACTGAAACACGCTGCTGAGGAGAGCAGTGGGGAGACAGGAGAGGTTTGCAGGGCCATGTGGGTCACTCCCTGGGCAGGGGTCGAACTCAGGCCCTCACAGCTATTGCTGAGACTCAACCCCACACCACCAGGGAGGCCCCACCAGTGTCTTTAAGCACAGGAGTCACATGAGAATTCACCCACAACAGTGCTGGCCTGTGCCTGTTCTCCTGGCCTGATGAACAGCACTCCGTTCTCTGCAGTGTCCTGATTTGTATTACAAATTATCCAAAATTTTAAGCCACTGTAATTTTACAACAAAGTAAAAAGTATGAATAAGTATGCTTTGTGGGGAAAAAAACCTTTTTCTAAATTTTCATTAAGATGAATTTATGTATTATGTCTATGATTGAAATTTATTTATTATTTTTTAAAAGATTTATTTATTCATATAGAACTGGGGTACAGGCCAGAGATGCAGAGGGTGAGAGGCTTCACCAGAGACAGAGTGGGGAGCAGAACAGGCAGATGATCAAAGTCCACTGCTGAGGGAGCAGCGGGCGGGCCAAGAGAGGTCTGCCGCGCCATGGGGTCACCTCCGGGGCAGGCGGGGATCGAACTCATGTGGAAGCGGCTTAAGCTTCTTAGCGCAGTGCTTTAGCCCACTGCGCCACCAGGGAGGGCCCTGAAATTTATTTTTTAAATTATCTTTACTCCCTAAGAACTTTGCCATCCATTCTACAGGATGTTAATGAATCTGGTAATTATTTTAAAAATCAACAATTTTCTATTCCATTAAGAACACCAATTTGTAACAAATACCCTTTTCAAGATTTTTTTAAAAGATTTATTTATTTATGCACACAGAACTGGGGTACCGGCCAGAGGTGCAGGAGCAGTGAGAAGATTCACCAGAGACAAAGCTGATCAGGCAGATGGACACTGCTGATGGGGCAGCGGGCGAGATAGGAGGTCTGCTGCACCCTGTGGGTCACCTCTGGGGTGGGGATCGAACTTGCACTGAAGCAGCTGTGGCCAACTGGCAGTGCTGCGCTTTACCCCGCTGTGTCACCAGGGAGGGCCCAGAGTTTTCGTTTTTTAATATACGACTTGCAAAAGAAATACGAACCCCGTTGATTTTTAATTCATAAACATCAACTGTTGTAAAGATAATTTCAAAATACCTAAATCTCATTTGTTTCTGGGAAAGCACTTGGTAGACTACTACGCATGGAGGACTTTTCTGTGATTAAATCTCAGATTCATTTCCAATATATTATCTTCTCACAACCAGTCCCCGCTTCCGCCCAGCACTCAAGCAACATAGAAGTGCCCGTAGCTAGGAGGCGCTCATTTGCACATTACCCCCAGGTAACAGGACCACCACCAAGTGATCTGTTGTCCAGGCAACAGTCAAGCCTGAGTGTCTCAGGAGGCATCTGAGAGCTCAGCTGCAGGTAACTGGGGTCCATCCACTCTCCAAGCTCCACCACGCAGTCACACCTGCCCTCATTCTCAGATGGGCAACTTAAACAATAAGCACTTGCTGTTAAGTCAAGCACTTTCAGACATGCAATCAGAACAGGGAGGCTAGTTTTTCCCCCTACATTTCTGACTTTTCTTCCAAATCAAATTTCTTTGTGCAGACTGGAAACTCGGAAGCAGCAGGGACTTAAGACACAGATAGCAGGGAGACACATTCTGATGGTTAAAGGATGTTGCAGCTTCATACCAGTGTCTTGTGGCCCATGAAACCCAGAGACGAGCGTCACGTGTTAGGCAAGACACCCTTGCACCAGTCAGTGAGGTGATGAGCTGTGTGCCTGATGCTGAATTCCTACTCTGAGGCTTTTCAACCTGTTGTTTCAAACTCGGGGAGGAATTCAGGTTTATCTTCCATGCCGATTGGTAGAAGAGTTAGTGCAAAGATCTGCTAAGCCAATGAGAGGGTAACTAATTTGGGATTTGAAATGGCTCGGTAAGAAGGTTGCTTTTATCTCAGGCCTTTTACATGGCTCTGTACAAGGTGAATTCAGTCCATATAAACAACAGCATACAGGGTGGAAATTAAAAGAATAACTACGTGACTTTGAATTTCACAATAGAAACTGTCACAGTACAAACTGCTTTTGTTTCAAGCAGTCCTGAGCGATGCAACGATGACCCCAGAAGGACATCCTTCATGCATCACTTCTCACGACATCGGGCGAGCTGCGCCCTAAGGGCCACCCTGCAGTCCGCGGGGCGTGCGCAAACGGGTTTATCCGTGAATTCTTTCAAGAAGCCAGGATCTCGTCCTAACTTGGAGGTTTCTCTCCCCACATTTACACGGCGGGCAGTGGGTAAACGCCTGTCAGGTGACTTCATGTCAGAAACACGAAGGAGCCTTTATGCAAGTCGATCTTTATTTGTAAAAAATAATATACAACTAAAGCTAATTCAATTTTTAAAATCAGAGTTCATTTAGTGGTAATGTACATTTTATAATAAAATTGTAGTAAAATACTGACATTTGATAGTTTAAACAAAGTATCATTCATGTAAAAATCATGTCGCATGTAAAATTTAATTAGAAAATTCATAGTTCACAAAAGTACTTATATTTTGTTGATAGCTCATGAGAACATTATCATAAATTTACTTAAAATACAGAACAAAATTCACAGTTAGGCTTGACATTTAGTACTATAAAATATTATGCTGAATCCACTGGGATTTGTGTTAAAATAAGGTACACTTGAAATAATTCAGACTCTCAACGAACTGACATTTTATTGTATAACCAGGAGCTATACATCTGGCTGTCAATTATTTCAGTGATATGTAACTGAGACTATCTGAAACACCAACCTATATCCTCAGCAGGTAATTCAAATTAGCCCTAGCAGCTTGATCTCCATTTTCATGAATACATACAAAATAAATCTGTATTTTACAGTTAAAAACTTGTACAAAAAGTCAAGCCCTGAAGTATTTCCCCCCCCCAAGAGAAAAGTTCTGATGCTAAAACTTTGGAGAGAGAAGAGAAAGAGAGGTAGTAAATGTGAAACTATTTTTACTTAAAATGTTGAACCCCAGTACCACCTATAATATAAATGAAATTTACCCTTCTACATATTAAAATTATTTTGTCACTCAAGAAGAGTTAGATTATGAAACTCATAAAAGTAAAGCTGGAATGCCATTAAATAGTGGTATATAATGGAAGAACTTGGGTGAATTCAACAAAGTACACTGTATTATATAATGTGCAGTTAACAGATTAGTGATAATATTTTTAGGTGTAATGTGCACAAAATACACAAGTATTCTGAGTCAAGAGACCTTCATTTAATCAAGACTTTACTTTTTCACAAATTCTTAGCATAGAGAAAATATCCTTCAGAACGGAGTCATTTGATTCTTCAGTTTTGATAGCACACAATTGGTATAAAGGTATCCAGACAAGCTCTGCCATCAACATAATTAATAAACAGCCTCGAGAAGCACCCAGGAGCCACAGGCCCGCTCTCTCCCTGCGAGGCTCCTCCCGCACACGGAGCACAGCAGGCGGGGAGCAGGCAGCAGCCTGCCCTCTTCTGGGTGGGCACGCACTGGACACAATAAATAGCCTCGCACAATTAATAGTGATAAACTCTACCTGTCAAAGGTGCATACTACATCTTTTCCAAAAAGCATAGGCAGTATTCCTAGCAATCCCAGTAAGGAAACCCCAAATTTGTCATACAAAAGTGCACAAGTTTGTCCTGTGTGTAAAAAAATCTCTCAATTTGGGTGCAACTTTTATCCAAAATGATTCACACTACTTGAATATGTTGGCAGAGTATAAACGCACACCACAATGTACACACACACACACACCAACAGGAATGATCTCCAGTGAGGCTGGGAATAAAGACAAGAAACTGGTCCAGAGCGGTCTCCCTGTGCCCAGCCCGTGGAAGCGCCTTTCAAGCTCAGCCAGGCCTACCTGGAGTGAAAGCGCAGGGCGGACAAAGGTGAACAGAACAGCGTTAGGAAGCTTCACAATTGGGGACAAAGCATCAGCGCTTTGTAGCAGAGGAAGCAACCCCTAAAGATAGTACACTGGTTTGATTTCTTAGAATTTGAGGAAAACTCACCTGAAAAGATTACTTGCTAAAATCACCAACAGAGGAACGCCACCACAAAAACCGAAACCAAACACTGGGAACATAAACACTGAGGCCCCCCCGGTACCAAAGAGAATCAGACTTCTTCACATTTGAGTTTTCAAAAATAGCGACAGGGCAGATGAGGCCAGTGCTGTGCGGCGGCCGCCACCGGGCCCCGTGCTCCGCCGGCCAGGCCGCGCCTTGGAGGCCGCACCGGAACAGGCAGCAGAAACACATGCTCCGTCAGCAAAGGCCCCTTTGTTTTACACTAAATTCACCTGTGACCCACCTGCGTGGACACAATCATCTAAATGTTATTTCAGTGACGTGTCATTACTTGCATTATTCCTTTTCTCGTGCCTACTCCCAGCTACCGGCCCAGAGGTATATGTATACTTCAAACTAGCCAAATGTACAAGTCCTCCCCAGGCATCCTCACTCCGAAAACATTTGAAACAAGTTTCATAGTGTTATGATTGTTCCATCTTCTTCTAAGAGTTTCTGACCTGGAGCATGCGTTTCCAAGTCTGAATTCGCACTGCTCGCCACGGGCGCCAAGCTCACTTCATTTGAAGGAATAAAACCATTCTGCCCAGACTCAAAGTTGAGTTCGATCTGTGTCAAAGAGTCCAGGCTGGCGGTGTTAGGGACAGCCTTCGGAATCTGCTGAGGCACGCCGTTGCCTTCAATGACCAGGTCGTCTTCCTCACTGTCTTCATCCTCGGGCTCAAAGCTGGGTTCCGTCTGCTGGGGGTAGCCCAGAAGGCTGTTATCCGTGGACTGGCCGGAGCTGCCGGACGCCCGACTGTTCCTGACAACGTTGTTCCTCTGGTTCGCGGGCCTCACGGTGATGATGAGGTTGCGGCTGTTTGCAATCATCATATCTGTTACTTGGTCTAGGCTTTTCCCTGAGACTTCTATGCCGTTAACTTCTAGAACTTCATCATTAACAGCTAACAGTCCTGTGCTTTGAGCCAGACCTCCTGGGACAAGTCTGGATATAAAGATCCCTGGGACCTTCTCTAAGCCGTGCGGGGTCACCCTGACACTGGAGCCATCCCGGATGTAGAATCCTAGGGGTTTCTCGGTGCCGTATTTGTAAAGACGGACCCTACGATGAGTTTCTGGGAGGATATCCACGTCTATGATAGAAGACACAGGCCTGAAGTCCTGGGGCATACTGATAACTATGTGCGGCTTCTTTCTGTGGTTGTCAGGACGTAAAACATTTGTTAAAACATTCTTCTTCTTTATTAATGTGTCAGTACCAAAGGCACTGTAGTCAGCTTCTTCTGTTTAGAAATAAAATAGAGTAATTATAGAACTGCTGGAAAAACACCCATTGATCTACAGGTGAATCTGTGCAGAAAGGATAACTCAAATATACTTAGCACATAGTTATATATTAGCTTACTCTAACCAGATCAAATGTAGTACAGTAGTGAGATACGTTATTCCAGGAAACACCAATAGGTGGCCCTCTCAAGCATACATCATAAAATTAAATGCTGACACTACATTTGCCAAAGTTCAATGACTATTAAAAATTAAGTTGTATGGCACATATTAAAACAACTAGCAACAACAAATGTTGACGAGAATGTGGAGAAAAAGGAACTCTCCTGCAAGCTGATATAACCACTATGGAAAGCTGTCTGGAGGTTTCTCAAAAGGCTGAAAATAGAGCTTTCATATGACCCAGCAATCCCACTCCTAGGTACATATCCAAAGGATACAAAAACAGTGACTCAAAAGGACACCTGCACCCTCATGTTTATTGCTGCTCTATTTACAACAGGGAAGACGTGGAATCAACCCAAATGCCCAAAAATAGAAGACTGGATTAAAAAGATATGGTACATATACACAATGGAGTATTACTCAGCAATCAAAAAAGATAAACGCATGCCTTGTGCAGCATGGATGGAACTGGAAGGGATCATGCCTAGTGAAATAAGCCAGAAGAAAAAGAAAAATACCGGATGGTTTCACTCATAACAGGAGCGTAAGGGAGCAGGGGAGAAAAAAAAGAGAGACAAATGTAATAGAGTAAAAATGAAAACAATGAACAACTATAAACCAGAGCATTTTATGGGGGAGAAGGGGATCTGAACTGGGTTTGGAAGAGTGCACTGGACTGTGGTGATGGCACAAAGGTGAATTAGTGGTGAGATGAAAAAATGCACAACTGAGGTGAAAAAATGCACAAAATGAAGAATGATGTAAAAAAAAAATTAAAAATATAACAAAAAAATTAAGTTGTAACCGAATGTTACCACAATAAAAAAAACATACAATTAAATGAAAAACAACATTAAATGTGGCAAATGAAGTTCTGGTTAAGTCTTACACATTAAAAAAAAGTTATTTAAGACACATTTTTCCTTTATTTGTTTAAAACCCCTCCAATTTGCATACTTAGCATAAGTATAAGAAATGGGACACTTTGATTCCCCAGGTTAAGTCAAGAGAACAAGCTCCAGCACCTAGATTAGTGGGTGGGCAGGTAACACGATTAAACAAGGTGGGAAATGTACACTATGTCATTAAATACACCTGTCATTAAGTGAATGCATAAAACACACACTTAGGAATTCTGGTCTGCAAATGACACTCTTCCCCCTTTTCAGAGCTTTTAAAAATTGTCCTTTTTCTTTACTGTGTGAAACAACAGAAAGCAATGAGACTGCCTCTGAGGGGCGACAAACAACAGGACACGGCCGGGAGGCGGCTGGGGCTGCCCCACGCAGAGGGCACGTTCTGGGCAGTTCTCCAGTCGCCAAACCCAAATTACCAGAGTTTTGTCTTTTAGGTAAAACCTTCCCCCCTTTAAATACTGACATCTAATTAAGTAAAGAAAACCTTTTTGGGCCCCAAAGCAGCAATTTATAGTTTCTGATATAAACTAAGGGAAAACAGGACTAAGCAGATATTCTATAATCATACTGCTGAAGCAGGAGTCTATGAAGAAAACATTTCAGCAGAGAATGAGAGGGAGAAACGGAAATGAAATTAAGAGCAGCCAGAGCGTAAGTTGAAATCACATTTCAAAAATAAATGGAATGGGAATAAACTAAAAGGGCAGACTTTTCAAGGACAAGATATTTAGCAAAAAAGACAAAAGTCTTCCTTCTTTCCCTCAAGAACAGCCTCAAGCCCCAGGCTGGCTACATCCACAGAGCCAACCACCCTCCTGCGTCTTTCTGGCTCCCGGTGCCATGCCTGACCCTCACCCTTCCGGGCTGGTGCCATCTTTACTCTAGACCAGGGAACCAGGGTGCGGAACGGCAGAGACAAAGATGAGCTCCAGGCTTTCTCCCCGAGTCTGCACCTCAACAGTCGCATGTGGCTCTAGGCCTCACCCGCCAAGTACAGGGCTTCAGGGCCCTTTCCTCAAGGTGCCCAAGCAGGTTTTTAAGAGCTTCCAGAAATACATGCAAGACAAGGGTGCCTTCCTCTTGGACATTTTTTCCTTTGGGGACAACTTTTTGTGTTCATTTATAAAGTATCTACACTATGTTCTTACAAACACAGAAATACATTTGTAATTTGGTTTTAGAAATAAATTCATTACATAAGAATCTTTGGCAAAATTGGGCCAAAAATCTATCAAGAGTGCCTTCTGCTGAATGTTTTCTTAAAAGTTATCTTCTTTTTTAAAATAATCAATTAAGAAAGCCCATAAAACATTTATAAAGGAAATTCCAGACCTTGCAAGCTGAGAACAAAATGAAGTTGCTCACATACCTACTCATGGGAAACCTGACCAAAAATCCCCCCAAATCTGCGTAATTTGGCATTGCATCCAAACACTGTTTGAATGCTCTTTGCTAAATTCTCAAAAGCAATATGCCCCATACAAAGGCACCTTTGTTCTCTCATCTAGCTAATCAGTTTCCAGCTACTGGGAAAAGAAATATTTTGGCAGAGAGCCAGGGTGTAGGGTGTTAGTCTAAAGTGTAAAGGTGAATGTCCACCGGGAAGGGGAGCTGACTTTCTACCTGAGTACCTATATCCAAAGCACTGCACTTAGAATGAGATGGGAAGTTTGGAAACTTGGTTCGTAGCAACCTCTGGCGGGCATAAACCACTTTGCCACAGCGTACGAATCAGGTCACACAGCAATACCTCACTTACCCAGAACATGGGCCCCAGCAGACACTCAGCCGGTTGGAAGCCCTGGGACCTACCTGCAAAGCCTCTGAGGAGCCTGAATGTCTGAATTCCCTGACACAAAAGCCTCTGTGCTTAAAGCCCGGGAAGACCTTGTAGCCCTCCGCTGAGCCACTTGCTCTGTAAGCACTGACTCTGGAAAGCCGTGAGGTCTCACGCACTAGCTCTTGGGCCTAGGTCAGAGTCAGTGTCAGGGTAAGTAAGAGTACACTCGTGAGACTTGGGCACAGGTAAAGAGATAAGAGCCTAAGGAGAATATGGGGACCCCCATCAGCATCTCTACACAGTAACACTTCATGGTGGACTTAGCCAGAAAGTTCAAGATTATCCCATTTGGTAGGAAGACAGGGAAGAATGAAAAGTTATTGAATGGTTCTAAACTAGTATTGATGGCCCTTCTCCAGACAGCTACACAGTAACTATTTTAGGTACTGCAGGTCATACAGTCTCTATTGCAAACGCAGCCACAGGCAATACATAAAGGAATGAGCATGGCTGTGTGCCAAGAAAACCTTATTTACAAAAACAGCCAGTGGAGCCTTCCAGCTTTGTGTGCCAACCCTTGTTCTAATCCAAAAAGGTTAAATGAAATAGATCTGGCAACTTTAAAAGGATTAGACATCACTTAAAACAATATTCAAATTGTACAGATCCTTTTGCTTCCTAATACAAGAAAAATCAATCACCAAGTGTTTTATACGCAGCTTCCATGTGGCCAGGCTGTGCCTCTCTGTGCTGCAGACTCAGCCAACAAGACAGAAAAGATCTTGCTCTCACCAAGTTGATAGGCCAAAGGAGGAGAGGGCGATCAAAGAGTAGCCAGAATCACCCCCCAGGCGCCCAGAGCTGTGGGGTGCACTGCGCTGCGGTGCCTGTGAGCAGGAACCCAGTGTGGTGGGAGGGCACAGCTGGCTGCCCCAGCGAGACCCACATACGGGAGACTGGGAGGGGGCTGCCAGCCAACCAAGGGGAAGGTGGGAGGGCTCTCGGGGCACAGGCAGGGATGAGCAGGTGGGCAGCCTTGGGAGCCCAAGGCGGTGAGCGGGTGCGGGCGGAGGGGCTGGGGTCCAGGGGAGGAGCCGGAGGAGGAGAGTGGGGAGCCCAGTGAGGAGCAGCCAGAGGGCACACCAGCAAGGGTTCCTGGGGGTGCTCGGGTTTACGTCTTCAACCGGAGCCATGGGATTTTGGTTTTTCTGTAGTGCTCATGCTGGCTGTGACAGCAGGATGGGCCTAAGAAGGAAGTCGAGGCTGCAGCTGTGACTTAAGGTAATACCTGGCCTGGAGCAAAGGCAGTGAGATGGGGAAATAAATTTGAAAAACAATTAGAAGACAGTTTTAATGGGCCTGGTGACTGACTGAAAAATAGGCCTCTGAATCATGGAATGTTGCAAACCAGTCACCTCAATTAAAAAAAAAGTGATGTGTCAAAGGTGACACCCAGGTTTCTGTCACCAGCAGCTGGTGTCCTATTCCAAGACATTATGCCACATTTATTTAACCTTTTATTTTGGGCCAAATCTTTGACTGTCTTTTGGTTTGTTTTTTTTTTTTTACAATTTACTATTAAAATGTATATCCCTTAGATTAGTTCTAAAATAAACCTTGATTTATTAAAATAGACAAAGTATGCGTATGTAAAACACAACCCCAAATCACGTCTACTGCGCAGGAAGTTTTACGATGGCCCAGCACCTGCCAGCAGTGGGGGGGTCTGGCCACAAGATCGTGGCCTGTCTCCAGCAAGGCCCGCTCATGCTTTCAACAAACTCCCTGAATAAATCCAAGGTACATGCGTAGTCGTCTCATGTTGTACACAGCAGACCATGACAGACCACCAGGTTTCGGTATAGATATTCCCATCAGCTCTGGCGAGGACTGTGCATACCAACGAGCTCCAGACGGGGCTGAGGCTCACGAATGGCTGGCAAGCTTTTGAATGCCCACCCTTCCCTGGCTGTCTGCCATTGCAGAAATGACCGAGTGTCTTTCAAAGGAGTGACCTTTAAATATTTTCTACAATTGTTTACTGCACAGTAATAACCTACACTACAAGAGTAGGAAAACTATTCTGCACTTTCTCATCTCCCAAAGCTCTAGTGGGAAGCGAGGGTGGGCCAAAGCCCAGGGGATCCATTATTTGTTTTGGTTTTGCTTCTGTGATGATAACCCTAGAAATGGCTATTTCCCTTTAACAACACATTATAATAAAACTTTTTAAGATATGCAAAAACACTATCTTGGAATTTAGGCTACAAAGTAGTTTACTCATTCAATTGTGAGTTTTCACTTCAAAAAAACTTGATAGGGGATCAGATTTTGGAGGAGTGCATGGTCTTAAGATTTTTAAATTTGTTTGAAAATTTGGTTTTTTTAAAAAATCACTTGCTACCTATCTGGTGTAATTCTGTCTTCTACATTCCCTAGTTGAAATCAACAAACTGGGGAAATAAGAAGTGCTGTAATTAAGCAACAAAATATAACTATACTTAACCTTCTTTGTTAGGTTCTGAATTTAACGTGTGTAAAGGTTTAAACAAAGTCAGCTTTCTATTTACGCATCTACGGAGCTTTGTTTAAGGTCTTTGGAGGGAGCTCTGACAGGGTGGAAGGGCTGGGTCTCCGGAGCACCCTGAAAAAGCCACCTGGGCTGAGGTCTGAGGACGGAGCGCCAGGCTGGAGGAGCTGCTGCCGGCGTTCCAGGAAGGGCCAGTGCAGAGGCAGAACAACGCGTTACCCGGCAGCAGGCGCTCGGTAACAAGCTTACGGTGTCGGAAGGAAGAAAGAGGCCAGTGAGGCTGGCTGTGGAGGATGAGGAGGTCATGCGGTCCCATTCAGGAAGAATTTTAATCTTGGGGCAGATTAAATGGTGAGAAGCCACTGGAGGCACTTAAGCAGGAGTGAATGGACCAACTTACTTTCCATTTTTTGTTTCAGTTGTGTTTATATTCCATTGTATTTTTTAAATATTCTGACAGATGAGCTGTCTATTAATCAAATTCTAAGGGTTTTTAATTGTACTGGATGCTTACCTCTATGACTCAGAAAATTTCTGTTCACATACATATATTCAAGAGGAAAACAACAAAAGATAACTACCTTTAAAAGATGCTAGAATTCATTTCCTCATCATATAATCCCAGTAACAAAATCCCAGTGTTATAATCCCAGTAACAAAAACATGTGGTGGTATAATATAATGTCTGTTACCCTTCTAATAAAGGGGACAACCCAAGAAAATTCTGTCAGGAGGCAGTAGTTTAAGAACAGTCATTGTTCATAGGACTCTACATTAAAACTACGAGCAAGGCTTATTACAGAATTATCTAAATTATTCTGTTTAAAAATGGCAAGTTCTGGACCCTCCCTGGTGGCACAAGTTAAAGTGCAGCACTATGAAGTGATCCACAGCCACTGCAGCACGAGTTTGATTCCCGCCCAGGGAAGTAACCCATATGGCATGGCAGACCAGTCTTGTTTCATCTGCTGCTCCCCTCAGCAGTATATTTCAGGAAATCCACCTCTTCTGCACCCCTCTCTGTCTCTGGTGAATCCTCTCACCTTCCTGCACCTCTGCCTTGCACCCCAGATCTTGCATGCATAAATAAGTAAGCAAATCTTTAAAAATGGCAAGTTCTACTCAAATGTTTGTCCTTTCTCCTCAAACATTCCCGATTTAGCTTTCGAAGACTCTACCCCTGGTTTTCATCTCAGCTAACTCTTATTTAAAAAATCACTTTTCTGCTCACTTTCAACTAGTGAGCCTCAGACTGCTCTCCTCAGCTCCAACCATTTCCAATTACCTACCTGGTTGAAACTCAGCAGCTGATAAGTATATTTGTCCTGAAACCAAACCAGTTTTCTCTCGAAGTGAATCTCTTCCAAATTTTGCTTGTTTATGGCAGTGGCCCAGCCACAGTGCTCACACCCAGAAGCTTTTCTCTATTGGAGTCACCTTAGGCTCTGCACCATGCAACCGACAGCGATGATGCTCAAATATTCCCCCTGGTCTTCTCGCAATGCTTTCCCCACCTACCCCTTCACCAGGCAGCTTCCCAGCTGGCTCTTCCTGCCTGCTCTGTTTTCTCCTCTAAGAGGGCTCCTGCCCCGCTCCCCTGCATTCCGAACAGCCAAAGTAATCTGTTTGAGACTGCTCCAACTATGCTATGCCCATGTCATCTTAGCTAAGAAACAGATCTCTGGGGTCTTTGAGAAAAGTACTTTATGTGTTTGTGAGTATTTTGTAAATAGCCAGCTAAGTAAGAATGACCCTTGGGGGTTTATTTTCTTGGCAATTTTAGTTCCTCCAAACCCAGAAAAGCAAAGACACATAATCAGTAGAATTTCAAAGCCCTCGAAGTGGCCCAATGCTTATCACCTGATTGGAAATAAAGTTTCCTCTTCAAGGGTAACCTCTATCATCCCCCCTACTGCTTTCTGGGTCTGTTTACAAATGGGCTTTACATTATCCCAGGACTCTGGGTGCGCTCCTCTCAGGAAGGTTTTCCAAATTTCTTCATCTACCAAAGACAAAGGAAGAAAAGGCACACTCCCTGCCCACCAAGAGATAACACACATACACAGGAGGCCACAAAGATAAGAAAAGTCTTAGGATACAAAATACACTTGACAGACCTCCCTGGTGGCTAAGGGTTAAATCTCAGTGCTATCGCCACTAAGGCCTGAGTTAGAGCCCCAACCAGAGAGCTGACCCACTATGCACAGAAGACTTCTGTCTCCCCGCTGCTCCCCTCAGCAGTGCATTTCAGTAGATCTGCTTGTTGTGCTCCCCACTGCCTCTGGTGAGTCCTCTAGCCCCTGCACCTAAAGTCTACACCCCAGTTCTACACAAAAATAAATAAAATTTAGGAAAAAACAAACCAAAATACACTTGACCACATTTGCTATGTAGTTATTTCAAATGATCTTTTACAAACTAATATCAATGTTTACATTCCTCTAAAAAACAACACCTAATTCTCCAGGTAATTTTATTTCTATACTCTAAATACTCTAAAAGAGAAAGGGGGGACCCGTTTACTGGATTTGCATGCTACATGCTGGGGTACTGCACTCAGCTTACTTAGCCACCCTATGAGATAACATGTTTATGTTACAGATAAAGGCAGTGAGGCCAGGAAGGATAAACACTGAGCTTCAGGTCTTAGTAAGTGGTAAGGAGAGCACTTGAAAGCTGGTTACCACCAAAAACTGAGAATGTTTCTCGCTCCAAAGTGATACTCTCTGTACATCTTTCTGAATGAAATTCCATTCAGTGATGTGAACACTCAATTTCTATTAAAAATCTAAGAAGTTATAATTAATTACAGACATTTTCTAAGGTTACTTAGCAAAGTGCAGACATACTAGTTATACCAACAATGTCATGGGTATTTTAATCCACTTGGTTAACACGCTTATCATGAAGTCTGAGGCAGGGTGCATGTCTTATCAATGAGGAAAATAAACTATTTCTATCTCTATAACAATTGTGCTAAACAGTGGCACTTACCCTTTTTTTGTATAAAAATCCTAAGCAATGGATTGGCCGTTGAAACAGCTTTGTGGTAATTATCATCATTATTTATAGGCAGTAAGTCTCCATGGATGTCAGCATAGCCCACTAAGACGTCAACGTTTGGTATCTTGTGAACATGCTGCAGTAATCCATAGAACTCCTCGAATTTACCAGGCTTTGATCTTTCCAGTGAAAATCGACGAAATTCAGCTCCAAACTATTAAATAAAGAGATTAATTAATTAAAACAAGAAAACAAAAGTAACAGGACCCAATTTTAAAACACAAACCGCAGGGAAATAATAGGTCCATGATATCCCTTAGGTCAAGAAGACAGCCCCAGGAACATAGGCAGAATCTCATTACTGGGAGATAAGGCAGTGTAAGGAAGGCACAGGAATGTGCCTCCTCACTGCGCCACTTCTTTCCAGAGAAGCAGGCTCAGTGCAGTCCCTGGGGTCCTGAGGCCCCTGGGGCCAGCGCAGCGAAGTGACTCAGCTCCAGCTCAGCTGGAGCCCAGGCCCTGCCTGACAGCACTACTCTCCTCAAACCATCAGGCAGTACAGATGCCAGGCTTTATTCTGATCATTAGCAAAAAGCATTCAAGTTTCCTGCCCTGGAAAAGGAATGATGATTTCACGGGAAGTGGCAAGAATTAACAGCAATAGACACAAAAGGCTTCAGCAACCTTGTCACCAAGATACAATAGGAATAGAGTTTACTGTATAAATCCTAGGACTATGGATGAGATGCATCCACCTTCTGGTAATGCTGAACAGGAAAGCTTCATTAGACAACTCTAGGTTCTGCAACTGTCCAATTAACAGAAGTGTTTATGTGCCTGGCCCAGTGCTAGGCCCTGGGGACTCAAAGGCTGGGGCCTGCTCCAGCTCTCCAACTACGGGGTAAAGAGGAAGATGCACAGAGAGGTATGAAGCAGTGGTACAGAGGACGCACTGTCCTCGTCCTCGTGCTCAATAATCACCTTCACGGCTCTGACTCCTACAAACACACCTTGAAAAAGTGGTTCTTATCAACTCTAAGGGCTGGTTTCATTTCATCCATGATAAACGGAACTATGACTTCCATGGGGATAGCATGGCATTGCCTATGCGGAAACCTGAGGAAGGTTAATGGGTCTTTCTCAAAAGGGGCTTCAATCAACTAAGTTTGGGAACTGCTACCTAACTATAACCCTATAATTCCTATATATTTAGGAATCACTGTAAAGCCCAGATATTACAGGCTCAGTTAAGTCCTACAGTTGCTTAAAAACAAACAAACAAGAAAACACAACAAAAAGCTTTTAAACAAATGTTCCCTGTATGTGTCTGCCCACTGAATTCACTTTTCCTTTCAGTATCTATCACAAATAAGAAATACTAATGTACTACGAAGACAACCTTAAACATTTAGCAGGCAGAGCAAGGCCCTTCCAGAATAATCTGAACTAACAAACAGGTCAATTCATTTTCCCCAGGACCCTATGTGGCATCTGAACTCACTGCTTCCGCTGTCTCAAAGAAGTTCATTAGCCTTGCTAATATACTAATTGTTAATTAAATTTACATAAAAATTCACCAAAATCATCTCTTAACTCTAATAAATAAGTTTCCAAAACACACTCCTGAAACATAAACATTAACATCTGACAAGAAAATAAGGTGACTCATACCTACAGTTCTCAAAAAGCTTAGTCACACCTTCACATTTCAAGGTAAATAAAAACTTGGGAACACCCTTCATATCAGTTAGTCTTATGATGTTATCAAAAGTCACAGTTTCTCCTCCATATTCCTTATTCCGGTATTACAACAGAAAGTGTCTAGTGCTTTCTGATTCACCCCTTCCCCTCCTGCATGATGGGAGTAACATCTAGTAACCAGACATTTCAGAGCTTCAATGCTTTTGCTCTAGATGCTGCTGGATGAAAATTCTTTGCTCAACAATTCCTTCTTCTGCTTAAAAACAATGGCAAACTGTATGGCTTCCCAGTAGATGTGCCCTTTTGTAAATGTTAGCAGGAAAAAAGTTGTTATGGCTCTTGCAGCAAAACAATAGGATTAAGAGAACTTTTTAACCACATGAAGAAAAATACTGACAAATAAAGAATCATCCACAACTATTCACCATATGAACTGTTAGAAGTTACTGAGACGGTCGAATCTGCCCTAGGTATCCAGGTTGGTGGGCGCTTATCCAGGATCTACTGGGACATTTGAGAGATGCAAACTTAAAATTAGTATTGTTTGCTTACGAATAATTAGAAAATGTACAGCTTTTCCAAGACCTCCACGGTTACTGAAGGATACTACCTTATTAAGAACTTTCCCACCCCTGAGAAGTCAGGAAGATAAATCACAAGGTAGCTACTATTACAATTTAACTATAGCTGTGCTTGCATTACCCATTATTTTAATTATTTCTACCATTTCCACTTTCGTGAACAAAAAATAAAGGTGGCACTCACTGGTGTTTTACACAGAAGATGAAGAGAGCCTGGGACTAGGATGGGGCCTCCCTGCAGAGGTGGCTGCCACCTCATTGATCAATTTTGGAAAATGCTGTACCAGTATCATGGGGGCATAGTAAAGGAAATAGTTTTCAAAATCTGTGCAATCTGGGGAAGACAACCATGAAAATATGTTACCAGCAATATGTATTTAAACCAGGAGGTGTCCCAGACACCGGGAACAGCAGCTCTGTGATGCCCACTTCATGGGAGCGGGTTCTCAGCAGCCTCGGTTCTACTCAGGAGACAAGGTTCCTGCCAGTGCAGGAGGCAGGCCCAATACTAACAAGTAGTTTAGAGTTAAGTATGGGACAGACTCACTAATCAGTTGACAGAACAGAAGGGCAGAAAGCCTGAAATTCCAGTCCCAGAGAGCTCAAGGTTCCCCAGTCTGAGAGATAAATCACTAACCTCTTGATTGTATGTATAGTGCGCCTAGAATCCCTACCCATTTTTTCTGTGATTAAAAAAATTAAAGACTTGCCACCAAGATAAGGACCACAAACTGAATTTTAAGATTATGCAACATCGCAAGTGTTTCTCTTTTCTTAACCTCAACTCCCACAATGCCAAGCTAGATTTATAACAGAAGTGCCTCGAAAAGGTTCAATCTCTGGGCTCAGAACCACTACCATCACGGCACTGCTACAAGAAAAGCGCCGGCTACTGAACCACCTTAGCCCTCAGTTCCAACTCGCTGCTTCACTGCTGGGCAGTTTCTGGGAGGACACAGAAGTGCAATTCCTTAAATTGCTGTAATTACATTTCTGTTCTTATTAAACAAAACGGTTTCTGCAACTAGCGCCTGCCCTAATACACAAGGTAAGCTGCAAGTGACACTTAAACTGAATACAGATATTCCTGATGGGATGACCCAGCGACTTAGAAAACTTTTGTCAACGGTAGCTAATAAAAGCCATTCTGCCTCAGGCCCCGGGGAGATTTCCTCACTGCTCCACTGGAAGTCGCTCCCTGATTGCCTTCTCGGGAAGCAGTCTTACCTTCAATGGCATTCATTAGTTTTGAAGCTGACATGTATGCTTTTACTCTCCTCTGATTCTTTTATTCGTTTTGGTCTGCCCAACTCGGTGTTTTCAATGCTCTCAGGCCCAGCCACATCCTCTCTTTCGCAGTCTAATGAGCCCAAGCATTACACCGTAAAAAGGGTTTAAGGTCTCGCCCTAGAAGCAGAGCTTGGCCGGGGTGCAACCTTTCTGAGCCTGGTCTTAGAGAACCAGATAAGATTATCTGAGCGCCTTTTCAGTTCATGAGATGTTTGCTGAAAACGTTCCAGTGGCTGCCGATCACCTTCAAATCCCTGCTCAGGGCCGCTCTGCAAAGCCCTCCCTAGCGAATCCCCAGACAGCCCTGCCCGGGAGCCTTACAATTCAGGAATTCCCGGATACTAACGTAATGATCACCAGACTGGCACAGCGCTGGTCAAGGGTGCACACACTCGATGTGAACAGGTAGAACGAAGGAATATGGAGAGCATGCAGCCCCCACTGTAAAGTGCTGCTCAACCGCAAAGTGACACCGTTCATTTTATAGATGACACGCACGCCGGCGCTGGGGCTGGGAAAACGCCGGGCAGGACGGGCAGCGAACTTTCCAGGGCTCGCTGGCCCCCGGGGTGCCCCTTCCCCACCCCAGGCACCGCGAGCCGCGGAAGGGCAACGTCTGCGCCCACGCACCCACCCTTCCCGCAGCGGCCAGAGCAGAACCCCGCCACCTCGCACCGCGCCGCGCCCCATCCCTCCCGTCGCGGGGTGCCTCGGCCCTCGCCCCCATCCCCGCACAGGAATGAGATTCAAGGAATGAGATTAAGCGCTCGCGGCTCTTCCCACCGCGGCC